TAGAAAATAATCGAGGTTGATTCAGTAAAATCGTAACAATATGAATGCATGTACGTGTGCAATATGAGCTGAGATAGCTATCCGATAAAAAATGATTTTTCGAGAAGTGGATCTTTCGAAAAATAGATTTTATTTTTAAATTTTCATGAAGCACAATTTTGGAACAATCAATTAAAAAAAATGTCGTTTAATTCACAAAAAATTTGGCACAGATGTAGATTTGGGTGGAAATTTATATTTCTTCTTCTGGGAAATGGGCCTGAGGTCGAGCTTATTATTGAAAAAAAAAATCGATTTTTGGTTTGTTTCGAAATTTTGTACAGTGAAGCTAAGGTAGGATGCCACAATATCTGAAATATGACCAGGCGGCTTATGGACAATCCCTTAGAATAGTCGGCCATAAAATGACTGACTATTTCCTTAGCACTGCAATCTGACGGCTAACTTCCTCACAATTTGGCGAAATAAGACGATATTCAAGAACAGCATTTTCCAATATCTCTAAAACAAGATAGATATAAACTTCGTTTTTCTTACTTTTTTAGGTTTTTTATTTATTATATATACAATATTTAACAAAATAAAAAAAGTTTGTAATTATGAGTTTTTGAGTATATTGAAGAATTCAAGTGGGGCAAGTTTGCTCATAGGCTCGTGTCAATAATTTTGGACATTCAAGAAAATGAACTCGAGTTTAATTGTTTTTTTTTTATTAGTAGAACGATAAATATTCCTCATCGCTGAAAGAGTGAAAATAAATCTCCATTAAATATTCAATTCTTAAGTCCACATTTTATTAATTTTAACGACTGAAAATTTTACTTGGGGATATCTGCACTCATTCAATATCCTTCCTTTTAATAATAACAACGAATCAACACGTCCCTTCATTCCATGTTACCGTGACTATTTTAAGCCGTCACAGGCAACCGTTGGGTGAACAAATCGAATATATCCAGGCACAAAGTATCGCTGGGTGGAACGACAAACGCAACAATCAAGCAACCCACATAAAACCTAAGTATGCGATTTGGTATACTAAATTGACCTGTACCCAACCGCTACCCTTCAACCTCGCACATTGCACGGTGATTTTGAGCCCGATTACCGATCAACTTGGTTGGTAGTTGGTAGTTGGTTTTGCTTTTGCTTATGCTTTACTGCTGATGATGCATGCCATGGCCCATAGTATGACAAATAACAAATAACAGCATGGAAATTTATTGAAGGGGCAAAAAATACACCGACATACCAGCAGTTAGAGCTGTGGCGAAGCAACCAATAGTCAGCAGTTGTTGACCATGCAGTTAACCCACCCTACTCGACCACATGTGCGGCCATACATAGAAATGTATACAGCATAAACTTACATATATACATACCTAACTGTGTGTATACATCTCGCTGTTGCTTTTCATTTCGTTGACCCCTCTCACTCTGGCAATCGCTCACATGTTCGTTAAGCCACTCTTCTTCGCTGCTCACCCACTCAGCAGCTGGTATCGGCGCCGTTACTATTGATAGTGGCAGCGCACAGTGGTATTCTCAAGACCAAATATCGTATCGAATTATACATTGCAAATTACCAAATTGTAATGCACAGTTTATTTTAAGCCGCTAAAATTATTAATTTACTTGTTACACTTTCTTGTTCTTAAGGCAAGCAAAAATTATTTGGATTTGTTCTATTGTTTCATTAACGCGTACAGAGCTTCTACACAATACACCTATTTATAAATTTATAATAAAATGATAATTCAAACATGTAGTAATATTGATGTACGGCGCTCCGAACGAGCGTTAAAAACCAGTTTTCGGCGGTGAACTAAAATTCCATGGTCTGGTTTTCCAAAACCATAAAAAAATCTCGGTTTTTAAGTAAACTGCGTCTATGAAAATAAATGGGTTTCGACTGAGATTATAATTTTCTGCTTTGCATTTCTTAACAAATCGAGTTCACCGATATGAAAAATATTGTTTCGAGAGAAGCTAAAACATTTACTAACAAAATTTTAATAAATGATTTCCGGGGCGAGCGCTTTAATATACGAGCTAACTCAAAGGTGAACTTATTTCTAGGGTCAATTAAATTTATTATCGAAATCAAGGCGAATTTAGCAAGTTGCAGCTCTATGATAGCAAGTTCGAGACTTTTTTCATTTATTTAATGTAATTATTGTCATAAATATATGTTTGAGTTTCATTAAGTCTTTTATATGTTGGCGGTGAAATTTTATTTGTTGAAAATTTATTTAAAATTTGTTGAAAAAAAATTCGAATTTCCGTTTGGGCGAAAAAATAGTGGAACAGAGATTTTTCGTTCCTCCTTCCAGAAAAAAAGTAATAAAATCTGGCAAATTTCGTCTTTGACATTTCAACTGAATGAATACACAAGCAAAATGTGTGAGGCAAGGCAAATTTAACAAGGTGGAGTTACTAGGGCAGCGAATTCAACTTTTTTCATTTAATTTATTCGCTTCAGTGTAAAGATAGTGAAAATGTTTGTTTATGTTTGTATGTTTGTTTACATTTTGATTTTTTGTTAATTTTATTTTGAATTTCTAATTGTATAGCTGAAAATTTTCAAATAAGATTTGTGACTTTTTTCATTAAGCAATAGCTGTCTGGTCACGTTTCCCGTGATCTCATTCTGCCATCTAGTGTTTGCACTTTGACGAAGGCAAGTCGAGGGTTTTCTTAGATTGCTTCTACATTTTATAGCCACTTTAAATGTGGTACTGTTACACTGTAGAGTTCTGATAACGATTGACTTTTGATTTTATAGTAACTGATTTTCCTGCTATCTCTTTATTGAGAGTCCGCTTTTTGATCGAGCTTTGATTCGCCTGCAAAAATGGGTATGTCTTCTTTATCGAGGGCATTTGCTTTCATAAATTAACCACTGTTTTTGATTCTTGCTGAAGTAATCCGTTGCGTTTTGTATGTAGAAAGAAAGGGGAGCTCGTTTCCAAGCTCCACAAAATGAAGGATTTACATCCAACTGGATTCGGGCTTGCAAAAAATATAAAAAGGGGGTTAAGTAGGCATAAAAAGAAAATTACGTTTATACTGTGGTTAATTTAACATATCCTACCGATGTTAACATTGAATAAATAATGCTCGTAATGAATTATATAATGTACAACTGTCTGCACAGCGTTACCATAGCAATTCAAAACTTTCTCTTCTGCATATTTCGTGTTATGTAACTGAGTCTTATAGCCATTGCCTTATATATACTTCGTTATTCATATACGTTATTTGCATTGCTTACGAAATTCCCTTCCGAATACTTGCTCTTCAAGAATTCCCTAACATCCCATAAAATAAAACTAAGTTCACTAAGTCAAGTTCACTTTTCTTTTTCCTTTATTTATTTTTCAATCTTGTACCACTGTCTTACGGCGTCTACCGTTTATTATTTGATTCGCTTGGCTCTTTTTTTGCGCTTTAGGCGGGTGGGCTATGAAGTTTAAGCCGCTAACGTTCTTGTCATTCCATATTGTAGACGGTTAACATACAAAAATTAGGTAGGTAAGTAGGAGGTTTCTGTACAAGTCGTCTGCGTCCTGAACGTCCCAACATCACTTTGTTTATCTACATACATACATACATGCATATATACAAACATACATACGTATATGCAAGTATTGGCAGAGCACTGCGCCTGTTTGTTTTGTTCTCTCTTGCAATTTTGTTGTTTTTCTTCCTATTCCGCTTTGTGCGATAATTCGGCGTAAGGTGGCCGGCGCGTCGTGTTGTCGTCGATTTGTCAGCCCGCTTCGTGTTGCTGGTGTCGGTGACGGTGGCGGTGGTTTCGGCGTTGTCGATGTCGCTGGCGTACAATGGTTCTTAATGTACATACGAATGTGTGTATGTATGTATGTCTGTGGTGCCGGAGACTTCGCGTTTGCTAGCTGCTGTTTATCTGCTTGCGAGGGTTCTTTTTTTGTTGTTTTTATTGCTTTTATGTTTGTTGTGCCTGTGTGCACATGTGTTTGTGCGGATGTGTGCCTGTGTTGGCTGCGCTCAATGGCGCTGACTTTGGCGTCGCCGCTTTTCTGCCGTCTGCTCAACGCCTACCACGCTGGGGTAGGAGCTCAGCCTCACGCTACCGCCTGCACAGTTTGTCGGAATTTATTCAAGTAAACGGTTGTTATGTTTTGGTGGAGCGGCAAAATAAATTCGCATGTGCTTTACGATGCATCTTCTTCTGATGTTGTTTTGACATAAAATATTAATAAGAAATACCATTGGAGAGTCGTGGAAAGTGTGTAGTGAAAATTGACTCATATCTACATAAATACATATGTTTATACATACATATGAACATACACAATTAAAGTGACAATTACATATATATAAAAAATAACAAACGTTCCGTATTTGTGTTGTGAAAATTTAAAAAAAAATTAAATAAATAAACAAAAATCTAAACATTCAATTAAACAGTGAAATTTTGATTTGTATGATTTGATTAAAAGATATTTGTGATAAGAGTGTAATTGATAAACAGAAGATTTAAGAAAACAATTGTGAAAATCGTGATTTAGCAAAACACTATCCTAACCCCTTGACTATTAGGCGATGTGCACTAAAATGTTACAATATTATTGATACCCAAGCTGTTCAAGGATTACTGAAGTTATTTTGTTTTGGTTTAGGTGAGTTTTAATTTTTTAATTTAATTTATTATTTTGCTTTATTTATAAGCTGAAATTGGTGTCACATTGGTAGTAAACGATTAATATAAATAAAAACTTTTCGTACCTACATATACATATACCGTAGTATGTATGTATAAATATTTTTTCATATTTTTATTTCTAGTTTTTTTTTTTTAATTTTATTTAAAACAATTTTTTGATTTATTTAAATTTTTTTAGTTTTGTTTTATATTTTTTTTTTAATATTAATTTATTTTTTCCTTTTTTTAATACAATTTTTTTTGTACTTTTTTTAATATTAATTTTTGTTTTCAATTTTTACATATTTTTATCTCTTTCCATTTTCAAATTTATTGGTGCCTAAAATTTTTACTTAATTTCAAATTTTATGTTTTATTAGTTTTTCGCTTTGAATAGAAAATTAGTGTGTTTAAAATACAAAATCCATAAATTTGGTATTAGTTTAATTTTCGCTGTCTTTACTGTGGCTTGAGATGTTTGCCATTATCATTTTTCACAAATGAATACATACATACATACATATCGCAGTAAACCAGCCAATCTTTGTTAGATAAATCCTGTCCTACTTTCAGCATTTCAAGGCCACATTACATTTGCTTTGCAGCAAGCAGCCTTGTATATATACCTACCCACCTTTTACTTAATATTTCATCGTAGTATTTGCAAGAAAATCTTCAAAACATTAGATTCTGAGAATCAACGATATTCTTTAGCATTTAACACCTCACCTTCCTTTACTTGATTGCTATGCTGCTCGATTTTCTACCTGCTCACTGTTTGCCCATTTAAAACGGCGGCGCGTCGGTCAACCCAAACCCAAACGCTACACAAACAATCGCACACGCACACGATACATACATACATATGTATGTGTGTATACTATGTATGTACGAAAGTGTAGTTAACCCAGAGTTATGCCCGGTTGCGTGCAATGCGCATATTTTCCATCTCCTCTTCAACTCGTATATTCTCCCTCTAATGCGTTGTTACTACTCCAACGCCAACGCTTTTGGCGGAAATTGCTTGTTGCTGCGCTGTCGCCTCACTCTACCTTCTCCGCTCGGTAGTTGAAACAGCAGCATGTGTACTACATACCTACATGCATACATGCATACCTACATGCATACATGCATACATACATACATATGTATGTAGTTAAATTTTTTTGTGTGGCTGGGTGTATGAAACTATTTGTAGTTTTGTTTGTATGGGCTTACGGCTTTTTGCTGAAGCAGCTGCAACCCACATCAAACATACATATACATTATAAGTACGTATGTGTGTGTTCACGAACCCATCAACGCCATTGCCAATCCTCCCCAACAGCGATGCCGAGTGTAAAGTTACTTGGTTAGTTGTTTGGTCATAAAAATGTGTAGCATCCAAAAACAGCAGGCGCGTCGCCGACTATCGTGAAATGGACGCACCAATAGCCATACATATAATATTAGTATGTAGGTACATAAGCGTAGTACTTGTGGGTACACTATTTCGACTTTTGCCATGGAAGAGGGTTGCATTTAGGTTCACCCACCCTATTACAGCGGTGGGCGAGAGTTGCACAAATGCAGCGCAGAATTTGCAGTTCCTTCGAAAGAAGTACTCTGCTCTCCTCCTAGTTTCACGCTACTAAGATAGCCAACATGTTATCCGTTTGTCACATTGGCAGAACCACTTGTACCACCCGCTGTAGTGCTTAGTTATTCAACCTTTTATTTCGCCCATACATACTTATACTTATGTTTTAGCTTAGCCTTGCTGTGCGTTCGGAATTCAAGTCTCGCCGACTCTGGCGCTGTCCTTATGCATGTGCGTGTCTAACCGCAGTTTCCCTGTCAGAACTTCTTGTACACCAGTCGCTCGATGCCCGAAATGTACGACCCGTCGCCCAACTTTCTTATACCCTTTCTATGTTAGCCTTTGAACCATTTTCTTAATTCCCATCTGCCTTTCGCATCAACTATTCGCCCATCCATACGCATATCTGCTCGGTTCGCTTTACCATCTGTCCCACCTTCTAGGCCCTTCTTTTGTTGTTGCTTTGCGCGAAATGTGCAAACAGACACATGCAGACGTACCTCTATGTATGTAGTGTGTGTATATGTACCACCACCACCAGCTACCCAAGCGACGCCTACCAAAGAGCCAGCTCTATCGCCTGCAGTGACGTCGACTTTCATCGACAACTCTGTCTGCTTCCACCGTTTACCTCGTCGGTTTGCTCAAATGCTGATCGTTACTTTATTCCTTTGTTCTCTTCTTTTTTTACTTTCGCATTTCCACCCCAGTGTTGTTGGTTGGTTCGTCTGCTTGCTGCGTGTCTGTCTACTGGGTTAGCTGCTTGTGTTTGTCAAAAAACGCCAACCCAGTCTCGTATACACATGTATGTATGTACATGCCTATACACTGCTTTGATGTTGAGCGTATTTAAAAAACACAAACGATTTTTTTTGTCTTGCGGGGTGCGTTTTTTGTGCGGCGAGAGAGGGTGTTGCTTAGTGTATTGGAATTTGTAGTGCTTTCTTCTTTTCGTTTGCTTCTTTTTATACACACATACATATATACATATGTCTTTCTATCATTTTGTTCCATTTACTTTTGTGTATTGCGGCCCTCTGAGGTGTTGTTTAGAGATCATACACGGACATACATACATACATAGATTCATGGAGTATAGAAACGTATCTACATAGGGTCCCCAAAAATGTTTACTTGGTTGATCGCTATACCTGCCTCTTCTAAATTTCTCAGCTTAACGCTTTCAATAGATTGAAGTAATCAAAGGCGCAGGTTTAAGCTGACAGTCCTCTGGGGTGAATTCCAGCTTCAAGGAGCTGTTCATGAATATGGCGAAATCCCTCAAGTCAAGTCTCAATGCTCCATGTAGCTTTGTAATTCTTCGTACCCCTATATTATGTGATATAATTGGAGCCGCCTAATAGAAGGCCCAGGTAGCTAGACTCATGAAGAGGTTTGGAGAGAGGTGTAGTTTTGTGTGGGAGCTCATTGCACTCAGTAGACGTGTTGTTGTAGTAGTAGCGGTTCCAACAAATTGAGGGACCTACAGTTTATACTAAGCCGCCTTCGTACGGCTCACGTTTTTTTTATAAGGGTGTTCATTTCATGTCAGAAATACACTTGGAGGGGTTGACATTCCCTGCCGATTTTTCATTTGAATTAACTTTCTATAACTTTTGGAAACTCCCGCGGCCGACATGGACAGCTTTAAACAATCGTAAGTCGCCGAGGTTATCTAATTGGAAGTCCAGGAAACGTGCTGTGTCGACGGGATTGGACTGGTGGGAAAGGGGGGTTAGATGAGACGGTTCAAGGGGGCACGTGAAGAGGTAGTTAGTGTCGTGCGGAGACACTCCACACGCAGGGCATCCGTTGTCGTAGATCAGTCTGATTAAGGTCTTCTTCTTCTACAATATGAACACTTTTGTAATGTTCGGATTCAGGGCTTTTTAAGCGAGTTGGCACATTTTTTGACATTAATCTTCATGCTATATCTCATCTTATTTGTCTTCAGCATAAATTTAGTATTTGTAAACACTTACATCCTCGGAGACCTGCTGCAACCTGTTGGCATATATTCGCTTTCGATATACATATGTATGTACATATGTATATAAGCTGAGGTTTAGTATTTCAAATTTGTTGCATGCATTGCTGCAAGGTCCTGCTGAAACCCCACAAGTGCGCTGTGACCCACGCACAAACACATCTTCCATGTGTCTGAAACTTTCTCACGTTTCAAATGGAAGAAAGGTACCCGCAGGATGAGATACGACTCTACATAAACGCACATTGGTATGCTACATACATACCAACGTATGCAGAGACCGACCTGTATACATACAGTTTGTCGGGTCGCCTGGCGGTGTACAAAATTCAATTACTACGCACTTCCCGTGCCCATTTGCAAGCCTACGCCAGCGACGACAACACATGTTGCACGAATGCACTGTACGTATTTGGGGTGGTGTGCCGATCGGCAGCGCAATTCAAGGAATACATATATATGTATGCGTGTATGTGTTGCATAGCTACAAAAGACAGAGTGCAGGTCTCACTGACTCGTTGCTTGGCCGCTTGTTGCATGCAATGCATTGTTGCAAAAGCGAATTTCTAAATTTTTCGAGGGTTACTTTCGTTTGCTGCTGCGTCGCGCCATTGGAAAAGGATGTGTGTGTGTGTGTGTGTGTGTGTGTGTGTGTGTGTGTGTGTGTGTGTGTGTGTGGCGTTGCGAATGCTCGGTCAGCCAGCAAATACTGCTATCTCATCGAAAGTTAAACAGACCAAAATAAATGTAAATCTTTCTGCTCGGTGTGCATATGATTGTTTGTGTGCAATTTCCTGTTGAGCCCAAATGTCCACGGCGACGAGTAGAGTATGTTAGTCACCACCAACCACCACTGACGCCAACGGCACTATTTCATCATCAGGTTCACCTCACACTCGCCGCGTACTGTGCACATTCCAGCGGTCTTGTCGTGAATCGACCCGATCCGACCCGACCCTAACTTGTGCTACCCTCCATCACAAAACTCTGCTCTACCACACACACATGCATGCTACCTGCTATTTACCTGCTCGCACTGCAGCTGTCGCACCGTATTACACCTTTTACCTGCCGCTGTTTCCGCTGGATTTGTTGCGTTAATACGTTGTAGTAGTTGTTGTTGTTGTGCTGCCGAACCGCGTCCGCTATTGGGCGCATATGCGTTTCAGGCCCAAATTTTTGTTGTTTTCTTTTTGTTTTGATGAAATAACAAAAGCGAAAAGCCAACTCAACTCGCCTATAATGCGGATCTTCCACCCCAATTTGTGCTGTGCTCTTCGCTCTTTCTTTTGTGTATTTCCGTACCATTGTTCGGCAACGTATACAAAGAAATTATAATGAAAGAATAATAATGTAAAGAAAACAAAATAGTAAACCACTTCGCTCTGCTCGCACTACCCCGTTATGCACC